GGTGTTGTTGTTTCCGGGCTTCCAGCATCAGAACTGCCCTGTTTATATGGGCAGCCCCAGATCCAAAATGGCGGCCCTCATCAGGCACCTGGCAGCTGCTAGCTCCAGGCCCTTAAAGTGGCAGGCACCAACAGTGCCCTGCCACCATATCCTATGGGCGAAACATCGAAACCAGGTCGAAACGGCAAAACATTTCGACGGAACAAAACAGAACAGCCATTTCGACTCGAAACAAGTCTAAATGAAACACTGTTCTGTCAAAACGCTGGTCAAAACGAAACGCTTCCATTTCGCATAGCCCTATACAGCAGTTACGTAACTCTAAGCTGGAGATACTTTCCAGTCTGAGCATCCAGTGCTGGAGTTATTTGTAACATTTTTATTAGTCTGTTTTTGGTCTTGCTTCTTCCCTGTACTATACTTCCTTTAAAACTTAAAAAAAAAATCCTTTTAAATTACTGCTTGTCTACTCTTGTTACTCACACATTTCATAATTATTCTCCTAAATAATATAATCAATCCATAACAAATTAACAACAATGCATAATTGAACTCCAGACCTAACACAGTTTACATGGTTTATAAAATTATTTTCCATTGTTAATATGTTTCAAAATGTAATGATATATCTTTTATAAAAATAGCAACCCATAATAATATACAATTGAGGCATACCTAGATTATTTACCCTTTGTGCACACTGAGGGCCAAAACAATGAATATAGCATAAGAATTATAATCCAACATTCATGGCCTACAATACAATTTTTACCCCACACCTCCACAGATCAAAAACTTGAACCAAAGATCATTCGAATTACTACAGTCTTTCCCATAACTTCATTTGGGGCCTAATGCAAAATCCATTAAATATAATTACACTAGATACAATTAAAAAACCAAACAACTGTTGGACATTGAATGAGCTCTTTGGATTTATGAGCAGGCTCTCACCTTGCTGTTCAATAGGGATGGGTCAAAACTAGAGCTCTGAATCCAGTACCCTTCAAAATCCATGGAGGTTCAAGCCTATATTCCTTAACTGATGACATGCCAGTGGTTACAAGTCAGAATTAAAATTGAATGGGTCCCTGTTTCCAGGTGTGGTTTCTGTGTGTCCACCATTTCCAAATAAAAATGGTTGGCAAATCATGAAAGCAGTTGTGAGATAAACTGATCTCACAAGGTTTCCTTTATTCCAGGACAAAATATTAAAGCAGTAGTTCCAAAATGTTCTGGCTAATTAAACACAAACCCTGATGATTTGA